CAGGGCACAGCTGAACTGTGACAGGAATTAAATACTGCAGGGATGGAATACAAGGAGGCACAAAATCTCCATCATTTGAAAAGAATCATGTAGCGGCGCACACACAAAAAAATCAATGCAATTAAATAAAGCTGTCTAGTTTAAACACAGGGACAGGGAGAGATGGAGGGATTATGGGATGTTACACACCCAGACCATCTTGTGAGGTCCCTAGCATTAAACAATTAAACAAAAACAGAGAACCCAGAGATTTTATCGGAGAAAGCCCATGGGAAGGCAATGTCTAATAAGGGACAAATCCCAGGGCACCATGCTACAGCTGAGCCAGCTCCCTGCCAGTTCGGGGATCCGCCAACAGGCAGCATGGGCAGCAAGAGCATCCACCAATGAAGCCACTGAGGTGTTTTAGGGTTTAGTTGCAAGCTCGATGGAGATGAGCTTAGCAGTGCCTCGCAGGGAAACAGCAAAGGAAGTAAAGGTTAAACGAACCATGTACAAAATCGCCTCGATAAATCATGAGGGTTATCACCTATCCTGCAGCAGGGGGATACAGCAGCAGTGTTTATCACACCCGTACTATCACAGGCTGAACCAACAGCCTAATTCCTACTGCTGCGGCTATTAAATGAATTAAAAACTAACACCTATAAGACAAAAGCAAACCCTCTGCTGCTCCAGGGATAGACATGAGGCAGCCCTGTCTCCCAGCCTGCCCCTGAGTGCAATGGCATGCTGTAGGGTATCAACCAACATTAGGACCGTCCCCTACACTACACACTCTAAAGATGACATTTGCTCCTGTATGGACAAAACTCAAGGGGAGCACCACAGGTGTTCAGTGAGGTTCAATACAAAAAAAAAAAAAAGGATATCAGCAGGTTCTCAAGTCCTTGGGAGACTCAAAGCTTCAGCAGCAGTAATCAGGGAACAGCCTGGGATAGTTGTGACTGGAACACTGAATCCCCTTATAACCTGCTTTCCAGCCTGGATGCTCGAGGTCCGGCCAGCAGGGACAGGGCAAGAGAACAGCAATCCAGGTGGCTGCAGATTCTGAAGAAAATCCATAAGAAAGCTAAAAACAGCATCCTGCTCCCATCCCTGAGCTTTCATCCCTTCCTCACCACCGCTGCGGGAGATGCTGCTGGCTGCTGGGGACGTGGTGGAAACACACCATGCAGAAAACTGACAGGTCAAGCTACATTTTTTATCATTTATTTTTTTTTTTTAAACCAAATTGCCTTAAACACCTACTTCAGAGAGACTGATGTAGATTTCCTGTCCATACCTAAACAAGCCCCCCTAACAATGTTATCACTTTTCAAAACACATCTGTGCTGCAGCTCCTAGCCCAGACAATTGGCAGGTAACCAGTTAATAAATTTCTTCTCCAGACTGTTGAATAGGCTGGCCTCCAGTCAAAGGTGATGTCACTCCAATTCAATGTGCTATAATTGGAAAAACCTGGGGAAAGCAATCGCGTGTTTTTTAATAAATAAAGATCGCATTAGCAGCCTCCTGCTTTTATTCGCCACTAGCTCTACCTTGTTCAGTAGCAAAGTGGGATTTTCTGCTGCCACTCACTCCATGATTCCTACTTGGAATATGATGCCAGTTTCCAGATGTGTTTCAAGCCAGGAAGTCAGCAATCAGCCTGGATAAAGCCTCTGGGATTAGCTGCAGATCATCTTCTGACACACACATCCTTCCTGCACCCTCTCTTAGAAAACGGGCACACCCCTCGTGCCCAAAAATACAATAGAGAACAGCCCAGGCCAAGCAAAATCCTCTGATTAGGAAGCTTTGATCATTTCCATGTTAAATATACGTGAATACATTTAATTGATTCAATCCATCAAAGTCTCCAAAGCATTCTAGGGATCTTTACAGCACCGATGTGTTTACAAACACATCATTTTAATAGTTGCAGGTTCCCTTTCTGCTAGAGCAGCCCCATGCAAATGTCCCCTTTGGTCCCCTTGCTTGGCAGGAGAGAGAGCATCAGCTCTCCCAGGCAGCCATGAGACGCCCAATGAGGAGAAATCCTTCACAAGGCTCATCCTTAGAGGAAGAAGTGAGGATAAATGCTTTTCTGAGCTCCGTGAGAATACTGTCAAAAGGCTACAACAGAAGCGGGTGACACGAAGGATGTGGTTTGTGTGAAGAATAATCCCAACCAGCAGCTCTCTGGCAGCAGCACGCCCAGGGGCTGCAGGGGGTTGGATGCAAGCAGGGGTTATGCTCGGCGCCCCAGAGGGCTCCAAAGACTCCCAGCAGCCCCAGCATGATGAGGGACTGCCTGGGCTCCACCAGGAGAGAGGCTCAGCTCCTGGACAAGCTGCAGGAGGGGAGCCCCAGCCCAAGCAAACCTCAGGCCTTGCTCACTCAAGCAGACCCCCACCCTCCTATTATCTAACACCCTGCCAACAGAATACATATTTTTAATTTTTTCCCTCTTCTAAGAACATTAAAGAGGCTGTTGTTGGGGGGCACTTTTGCTTGTACTGCGACTCCTTTCATCTCACCACCAAAACAAAGCACAACCCAATTAACACCAGATCTCCCCCCAAATAACCCCACCCCTCCCCATTTGCTCCCACAGAGCCGCTGGGCTGTAGCAGGGTACCTGTGAGCAACTGCCAAAACAGGAAAGCAGGCGCCTAATTGAAGGGAGTATTTGGGAGTCACCCTACACAAAAATTAGCAGAGATATGCTAGGAAAATAAAAGCGTGGGCACTAACAGCGGTCTTATCTTCTTTTTCCATGACTCTAATGCTCAGTACGTGAAGAGGCCAAAAAGTTTCACACGATGTTCTGAGGAGTTGGTTGTGGACAGACAGCATCCTCTCTTTTATGTTCACTGCTCCCCCTCAGAGTAACACAGACTGGTTTTGAAGCAAGGATCTACAGCATTTATGCAAGCCAAGAAACCCAAGCACCCTAGTTCTGCCTGCAACACGTTATTCAGCAGCATAGTGGACACAAGGTCCCATCTGTCTGCTCTCAATTCACCTGCATTAGGTTTAGCAAGAAGAGAAAGCCATGAGGAGACATGGGGGGGAGAGAGGGGGAGGGGCAGCAGGCTACATGAGGGTGACCATTTCTGGAGGTGACACTGAGCTTGGGTTGGTTCAGAGCCTGGCAGAAAGATGGCATGGGAGCCCCTCTCATTACCACCTACCCCCTTCCTTACCATCTACCCCTCACAGTAACCTGGGACTATGTCCATCACTGGGGAAGCACTGGCTGGATCCAATGGGGAAATTTAGAGTTCCATGGCCCCCAAAGGAAGCTCTGGATCTTGGGACCATGCCAATGTCTGGGGCTAAGCAGGAGGGATGCTGCAGCCTGGTGGCACCTGGGCAAGGCAAGTCTGATTCTGAGTGCCAGTGATTCTCACCTTTTGTTTGCTTGTTTGTTTTCCCCTGCACCTAAATACACAAATGCTTTTCCTGCCTTTGCTCTTTACAGCTTCTCCATGCAGTGCCTCTCAGGATTCCTGGCTCTACTCCGAGGTTGAACCCCGCAGCCTCCACAGGGACACCCACATCTGGAAGAGGGACCGCAGCCCCGAGTGCTCCCCACAGCAAGCCATGGAGAGGGAAAGGAGAAAGCAGCGGGAAGTCCTGCTGAGAACCCCTTTTGTCTAAATAGGGCCTGTCCTCCGACTAAAAATAAAGGCTAACCACAGGAAGGGAGTGAGAGCTTGGCCCACATCCCGTGTTGTGCATGCCTGGGTGTGAAGTTGAGGAACAGGGGGGGACAAGCGAGGGGCCCCCACCCAGTGCAACCACACATGGGCTCGGGTGCCAGGCCCTTGGGATGGACAGGCACACTCATGGAGGTTAAACCCAAGCAGACAGTGCTTGGCGGCGGCACAGACCTCCAGCATCTTTCCCGACCTGCTCACACCCCTCCCAGCATGGGTGGGAAGGCGCTCTGCTAACGGGTGCACAGGAGAGGCCCAGGCCCACAGAGGCCATGCTCACTGTTGGTGCTGACGCACCACTCAGAGGCCTGCTGGGGAAATGCAGCACCCAGCCCAAGCTCAGACCGTCCTCTTAAACAGAAGCTGAATGAAAACAAAAAAAACAAAAAAACAAAAAAACAACACAGAAGCTAACAAAAAACCTTCATTCTCTTTCCTTATAGGTCTCTGGGTCTATACAAAGGTCACCCCTGAGCACTAAGGGAATGCAAACCCTCATGGTTTCCTTTAGAAAAGGACTTCTGCGCACAGCAGCTGCTTGGAGCAGGCTAGCTGCTTTCCCTTCAAGACATGCCAACTATTCCACACTGAACACATGCTAAATATGAAATGCAGATGCCTTTCCACAAGCTGCTTTAGCGGGTTTCTTGAACTTTCCCCCCTTACGATGCTTTTTGATGCAGCAGAACTCAAGAAAAAGGTGACACCTTCTGTTTACTCAGCTAATTACACTTAGTGACTGCTGCAGGGCTGGCTGCAGTGCTCATGAGCATCTTATAGCCTGCGGTGGGCTCCCAACCAGCATCTCTAGGGATGAAGACACAGAGAGGGGAAGGGTGCTCAGGGAACTCCATCCCTCTGCCTTGCCCATCCCCAGCTGCCCCTACTACCTGCCTCATGCTGGGCACCCCACAGCAGGCTGCTGTCAGGCTGGGGAAAGGAAACAGAGGATACTCTTCCAAACCCCAGCACCTTCCTTCTCCATACCACTAGCCTCTGCCCTGGGCAAGGAATTCAGCAGTGCTTTCTCAGCTGGGCAGCCCAGAGCTAGTGTCAGCTGCACATCACACTGCCAAGGCTTAAAGGATGCCCCAGGCTTCCAGAGAAAAAACTCCTCCATACAAAGTTGTAATGGTCATGGGCAATCTGCTCTAAGAGGCCCTGCTGCCACATCTGTTAGCCCTGAGCACTACCTCTGCCTGGATGTGTGTGTACCTTCACAAAGTTGCCTATACAGAAAACCCCAGAAGAACCAACACCCATTTCCCCAGTGCTCAGGACCGTCAGCTTTACCTGGATCAAGGTGTGAAAAGGACCCGATCACAAAGTCCAGCGTCGAGACAGCCAGCAGGAAGAGCAGCAGGAGCTGGAGGCGGATGATCCACTTCACCCCTGCCAGGTTGATCCCGAGCAGCCCCAGCAGCACCGCCAGGGAAATGCCTCGCACTGCCCAGATGTTGCTGAGGTTCAGTACATCCGCGATGGATTCTGCAAAGCCAGTAATGTACATGGCACCTGCAACACACTGAAGGACAGAGGTCTGTGAGCATCCTGTGGGTGCAGTGCCTGCAGCAGGGCTCAGCCTGCTGTTGCCACATTGCAATGTTTAAGGTGACTCTGGCCTACAGGCACTGAACTCTACTGCCACAACAGAGGACACTGTCAAGGCAGTGCGGGTAAGATACTGTATGTACTGCCTGAGTCAACACAGTAGCAACCAGCAACTTTCCCCTCGCTTTAAAATGTACCTCCAATTAACATTCCAGGAGAAACCTCTCTGGCTTATCCGAGGAAGAAGAGGATGAGTCAATCTTTTTAGCTTCTTCTATTTCTCTGAAAGAAAGGCTCCTAGTTAAGCACCTGTCTGAACAGCAGCCACATGCTTCTCCTCTCCCTGCTTCCTAGGGTGTACTTTTAACTCTGTATTTAGCTTGGATGTAAAGCCTGATGCTTCACTGGCTCCCTGTCTCCTGGAAGGGAGCCTGCACATTTGAGGAGTGCATATTGTGCAGTCCGTGCTCCCCAAGCACTTGGGAAACCTGTTTATTTCCCTTACTCTTCCTGGGTGGCCAGCAGTCCATATGATGGGACATCCGCAGCACAAGAAAACAGCTGCAGGTTCAGCCCTCAGATCACCCTGTGGGGCAGCAACCCCAATTCTAGAGGTTTCCAGGACGGACATTTCAGCAACACTCCCTTTCAGCACACAGCATAGCTGGCAAACCAAGCCAGGGTATGCAGTTGCACATCAGCACCAGTAAGGGTTGTTAGGAGGACACTCAGAAAGGAGCAGAGCAGGAAGGAGCTTCAACATCTCAAACATCCTTGAAGCCTACCCTTCAATAAAACACAATATCTCCAGATCAGGGGTCAAGTGTCTGTGAAGTCCCCAGTCCACCTTGCACAGTAACAAGATACCACCCCACTGGCCCTGCAACAAGGGGTTCTTTCTTGGGGCTTGAACTACCTATCTTGAAATCAGAACAGAATGTCTAGGCTGAATGCTTGCAGAAATCAGTTCCTTAAGAGCCTTTGCAAGACACACACCTTGCTGGCTGAAGAACATAACAGATTTGTAACACCCAGACAAGTGCTACCTTTACATTTGCTTTCAGCAGAAAGCTATTTCAGGGCTATAAATCCTTTCTTTCTTTGAACAGCTCTTACTGTGAGCCTCTTCAGAAAATGAGACTGCTTAGAAGAGCATCAAACCCCAGCCCTGCAACCCAAGCTGCCATGACCAAGCACATGCTGATCTCTAGAGGAGCTGGTATAGGCATGCTGGACCTGATTAGGGGAGATTCAAGGTTAACATTAGGAAAAAATTCTTCTCAGAAACAGTGGAGATGCACTGGAATGGGCTGCCCAGGGCGGGGGTGGAGTCACCGTCCCTGGAGGTGTTCAAGAGCTGTGTGTGGAGATGTGGCAGAGGGACATGGTTAGCGGGCATGGTGGGGGATGGTTTGAGGTTGAACTTGATGATCTTAGTGGTCTTTTCCAATCTCAACAATCCTGTGATCAAGCATTTCCTCCAGCGCATCACAAGAGGACCCCACGCTGGGTTCCAGCCCATCTCTGCAGCATGCCCCAGGATGCTGAGCAACCTCTCATTACTGAAGGCAGCAGGACCACATACCCAGTTCCTGCGCCACTTCTGACCAGTTACAGCTCTCTGTGTGCAGCTTGCAGCAGAGATGCAGCTCACAGCTATTGCAGAAAAAGGCAGAAAAAGTCCGCTGAGCACAGCCAGAGAGAAGGGAAACACATCAGCTTTCGGGAGCACGCAAAGCATTTCTCCTCAAGCTGCCAATTCCCACCCCGCAGCCCCCATGCGAGCTGGACGCCTCACTACAGGATGGGGCTGCCAGAGGCCAGGTTTTACGACACCTGGGAGAGGCTGCAACCTGATTGCTTTCCCAGACAGGGTCCACTCAGAGAGCAGGAGTGGAAAATATTACAGGAAGGATTCTCATGTGTGGCCCATTTCCATATCTTGGCTTATAAGTGCGTTCAATTTGTATTTTATGGACACTTGCTTTTAATCTGAAGTGAAAGGAGAAGAGGGGATTCTTTTTGGTTTGTGTTTTTTAAAGGTTTTCAGAGATTGCTGCAAGTCAGTCATTTTAAAGCAAACTTCAATAAAAATTCTTGCCTGCTCACCACACTTCAGACTGTTCATAACATCTTTACAGGGGGAGGGGGTTAAGTTATCACAGATTTAAGAGATTATTTTCCACTCTTTATGTTTACTACACATGCATTTCAGTGCTCCGCCACCATGGCTTCTCAGGGCCATTCAAAAAACACAGAAGTTGTGACTCTCAAAACACCACCTTCCCTCTGCCCAGCTCCCATCACACATCAGCTCCACTTCTGCCCCATTTGGAGAAACAATCAAGGCTAGCCCGGTCCACATGTACCCCCACATCCCCAAGGGCATAGTGAGCACATAAAAGCCAACATGGCAGCCCAGAGCGCTCTTTGCTTTAGGTGGCCACCCTGGCCACTGCCTTTCCATTGGATTGATGCCTCCTTAAGGGCAAGGCCTGTCTTGGCACCAAGGATACTTTGGGAATGAAATGGACATTCTGCACAAAAACCAACTCCTCTGCCATTTTAACTATGCCAAGTGCCATTTGGCCTGCTCTTACGGATGCATTTAGAAAGACTGATAAGTTTTCTAGTTTTTCTTTTTAATTATCTTCTCACGTTTCTAATTACCTGGCCAAAAATATAAAGGAGCCCAATGGTCCCCCCGACTTGACCTCCAAGGACAGTAGAGATCATGGAGTAGACGCCTCCACTTCCAATGCTGCACTTCTCACAGACCCCAATTCCAGATAGGATTGTCACCAGAGCAACCAGGACCACAAAGGACACCAGAAACATGCCCATCACAACACCAGTGTTTCCCTGCAATGAGAAAACAACAACAAAAAACAACTCACACAAGAAAAATCGGTTGAGACAGAAAAAGGACCCAGCCACTTCTAGTTACCTGTGATCAATGGCTATGGAGTCATTACGGATGAAAAGGAAGAGCAAAACCTCAACACAAACCCTAATTATACAATTAATGTAACTGATTGCTAAATTCACAGATCTTATTGATGCCCTTTTGAAGGAGAGCTGTCTCGTCCTGTGGCTGGACAGACCCTTCCATGATAAGGCTCTGCTCCATCACTGGGCTCCCGCATGAATCATTGATTCCGGCTTCTGGCTGAGAAAGGATGATGCCAAACAATGACTCAATGACCACGGGGAGGGGGTTGCTGCCATTGCCATGTTTCATTATGTTTGAGTATGAAATATTAACCAAAAACAAACAAACAGAACACTTTCAGAACAAAAAGCAGTTTCAAAACCAAATGTTTGGGATTTGTGACAACTGATCTATTAAAATCATCACACTGGAATTTTAATTTATCACAACGTTACCTTTAAAAGCTGCAATCCTCCCAAACGATAACAAAGAACAAAACCCCCAGGGAAACACTGCCTGGAAAATAAATAATGCGCTCATAGGCCAGCACACGCGGGACTTTATCTGCCCGATGTATGCAAAGTAGCAGGTGGCTCTCACACTCAATTTCCTCACACGCATTTTGTGCGAAGGATTTCACCCTGCTGATAAAAACTTCCTTCCTGCTCCAGGCAGAGGAAGCGCCAGGGAGGAGCGGCTGCAGCCAAAGGTGTAGGGTGAGCAGCAAAGCCTGCCTGCAGTGCAGGGTACGCTGCTTGGGGCACTCCATTTGTGGTTGCATTTCCTATGTGCAGTGAAAGCATGCCTTCCACAGAGCCAAGGAGAAGGCACTTAGTTCCTCCATGCAAATTCAAGTGCCTCTTCTGCACTCAGGACCTTCCAAACCTCTCTCTCACAGCTCTAATTTATTTTCCAAAAGTTTTGCTCCGTGCTCCAGCCCACCTTCCCCTGCTGACAAATTGCTTAGTCCAGCACACTGCCAGCCCAACTGCATCATCAGAAGCCTCTCCCAGTGCCCACTTCACGTCTGGCCTCACTTCCTCTGCCTCGACTCGTGTTTCAGGCCCTGTCCCATCGCTCCTCTCTATCCTTGCTCCCTCTCCTCCCACTCCAATAGTTTCTGAGGTCATGCTAGCCTTGATATGGGTTTGTTTATTACCAGCACTGCTTCTCATCCTTGGATTGGTTGAAATCCCAGATCTCTTTTTTTTTTTTTCCCTTCTTTTTGCAAAACAACAGAAACATATCCAGGATGTTACTATCATCATAAAATCCTATTTTGGTTCAGCATCCCGCGGCCTTTGACAGGGCTTTATCTGGTCAGTGGGGAACAGAGCCAAGATTTGTTACAAATGCAGCTGCTTGCAGGGTCAGCCCAAAGCCCAATATAACCCGACACTCCTTTAAAAGGACAATTGTTCCTTTTCCTCCATAGCTTATCCTAAGGTTAAAAGGGTTAATAAATACGACACGCTTCAGTTAAAAAGAAAAAAAAAAAAAAAAGCACACGCATGCAAACATACAAATGGCCTTGGGCTTTTCCAGATCCTGGAGGAGGCACCGGGCAAGCGCAGCAGCTGGTTAATGGGCAACATGGGGCTTTAGGCAGAATAAAGGTTTAACATCGGGGCCAGAAGAGACCTAACTCCTTCCAACAGAACACCAGTGGGAGGAAGGCAGAACTGGGAGGCAAAAGCCCTGATTACTTATGCATGCATGCTGGAAGGATGGAGAGTAAGTGGGCAGCGCAGTGGTGCAGCAGTTACTGAATACATGTGGAAGACTGAGGTCCCCTGCAACTGCAGGCGTTACCAACTCCAGCTCTGAAAATCTACAGCAAAAGCCTGACAAATGGATCCATGTATGTGCGTCCTCTGCTACGTGTGCTCTGCCAGCCTTGACTTCTCCTCCCTTCCTTTTCACGCTGTCTTTCAGCTGTTCCAGTTTTTATTTACTTACTTCATTTTTATTTGCGCTCGTCCCGGCAGTAATTCGCTTTCAGAGGAGATATGGAGGAAATCAGATCAACAAAAGTGAAGCTAAGATAATCATCCCGGTTTCTTCAGCTTGCAGTTCCCACCAAAAAGCACAAGCCATGTTTCAGCTGGAAGAGGTGAAGCAAAGAGCACAGCACCCATGCACTGACCCACCAAGGATCAGTGGAATGCAGGGTTAGGGTTTGCACCCTATTGTCAGCAAGGGAACAGCCCCACTGCATCTCAGCTGCCCTATGGATTCACCTGATTCTGTAGCTCTGTGGGTCTCAATATTCCCTTTTGATGCCTTCAGTGAAGAAGTGCTCAACATAAAGTGCAAGCTTCCTTTTGGAAAATGTTCACTGTGCCTGTGACACAAACTTGCACTTGTGTTGCAGACTGAGCCTGAAGCTCAAATTCCACTACTCCCTGGAGATGCTTTCCTTTTACTGAGGGGAAATTTTAAGGGACAGCACAACAAATTGCAGCAGGAACAGTTCCACACTGCAGTGCTAGAGAGAAGAGACAGGCCCCAACCCTGCATAAGTCGTTGGGTTCATACAAAGGAGCCCCTTGGGCAGCGAGGACACTTCCACCTGGCTGTGGACTGCCCATCTGAGACACACTAGGGACCCCAAGTAATGCAGTTATGTTTGGAAGAGATCTGCTCTGGTGGTACTGGGAAGATGTTAAATTAGCTCTACCTGCAGTAAAGTGCTTTGCCTGAAAAGCAATTCTTCTGCCTCAACAGGGCAACATCAGGATGTCCCAAGCTACTGTCTAGGCTGGTGGTTGTGGTGCTGCTTTCTTTTTCTGAAAGCTAAAACAGGAACACTTAAAAATACCACCTTCCATTTTTGTGGAACCTTCTAAAAAGCTAGGAAATACCAGATGACTTCACCAACTCATTGCCTATGAGCATCACAAAACCAAGAACACTCAGGTTCTGATGGAGAAGAGAGGTGAAGAGAAAATGACCTATTCTCATTCTTATGTTCAACCGAATCAGCCCTCACTCACCACAAGCCATCCTGTCCTCAGGAAAAGAACCACTCCAAAAATGTTGATCATACAGGAGGTGAAGACGCCATCCCATGTCCCAAAAAGCACCGGCTCCCACACGAACAGCTGGATCTTCCACCAGGGCCTGCTCTGTGTTTGGGATTCCTGCAGGAAAGCAAAGCCTTTAGTTTCATCCCTTACACTCTACAGGCAGGCTGCAGAAGTGGTGTGAAGGTCAGTGACCATTATAGCCACGTGGCTTGCCATCAACAAGTGTTAAGATGTGACTTAGCTCCAACTTTGGAAGCGGTGTGTTTTGGGAGGCCAGGCTGGATGGGGCTTTGGGCAATCTGACTTAGTAGGTGGCAACTAGCCCATGGCATGGGATTGGAACTGGATGAGCTTTGAAAACCCCACCAAAAAGAACAGGGTCAATGCAGCATCTCTTGGAGCAGAAGACAAACTAGGTTGGATAGACTGGGGCTGGAAGAATAGGTTCAAATAGCTCTGTCATCACACAAAGCCAATAGATTAGGGATGAGAACACTGAGTTTCTAGAGGAGATAAAGGACACGTGCAAATTTCAGAGCTGCTGAAGCCAACAGCTGAAACCTCAGGGGACGTGCAGCTGGGCTGCAAGGGGAGCTGGCTCCCACGTACCTGCTGGGCCTCCTCGTGGAACAGCTCCTGCACATGGCCCTCCCCTCTGGCATCATGTGGCATGTTCATCATGCCCTTTACACTCCCTCTGCCTTCGGCTGGTGGGTCTGAGCCCAGCACGTCAGCTCTTCTCCTCTGTCAAGCTCCTGCAGTGCCCAATTCCCTGCTGTAGGTTCATGGTCTTACTGCACTTCCTGTGGAAGGAGGACAGACAGAAGGCACTGCTGCTGTTTCTCAGTCTGCAGAAGCGCGAGGCTGTTAACCAACCAGAGCCAACGGCTGATGCTGAACCACAGAGTGCAACACCACCACAGTACTCTCTCAACTCTAACACTTAACAGCCCTTGGTGGGCTTTGCTCAGTCCTTTCCTGCTCCTGGCAACCCCAGCATCCTGCAGCACTAGCTTCACAGCTTCCTTATGTGCTGTCTGGGAGAAGTATTTCCTTTCACTTGGCTTTAAATCTGGCGCCTGCTCATTCTATTCCATTCTTCCGTGCTGTTATGACATGACAGAGCACTTCCCAGCATCACTAACAGTTGCACAGCACTTATCACCTTCCCATCCACTGCACTGTTCTGCAGACTAGAGCCCCTCCTCTATATTCTCTGCCTGACAGAGGGCCCTGCTACCCCTCTCTCTTCCAGTGCAGTGCAAGGATGGTAAAGGAAAGATTATGGTGAGTCAGCCTCTTCTTCCTGGTAAAAGCCATAGGCCAAGAGATAACAACCTTAAGTTGAGCTAGGGAGGTTCGGGTTGCATGTTAGGAACTATTTCTTCTCAGAAAGAATGGAACAGCAGTGGCACAGGCTGTCCAGGGACGTGATGGAGTCACTGTCCCTGCAGGTGTTCCAGAACCATGGAGATGTGGCATTCAGGGATGTGGTCAGTAGGCATGGGTTGATGGCTGGTGTCAATGACCTTAGAGGTCATTTCCAACCTTAATGATTCTATGACCCTACCAAAAGGGAAAAATTGGCACAAGCACTTCTCTGGAGGTTTCATTCCTGGAGTTGACCCAGTAGGAACCACTGCCCTCCTAGATATCTACGGCCACACAGCTGAGGGTTTCCTTCCTTTTTCTCAGTTAGAGGACTCCAAATCCATACACAGACAACGTTCTCCTAACGTCACCCCCTCTTCCATTATTTAATTCTACAGCTACTTACACACCTGGATGGATGCATTACACACTGGATGGACACATCCCTTTAGCCTGTAGAGCAACTGAGGCAAGCACCACACGCAGGCAGGGCATAAGCTACAACAGTGAGAGGCAAGCACACAGCCATGGCAATCAGAATGACAGTACTCCTTCTAATTTAGGAGTTAATTGATAGGTGAATCCTGAAGCTTCTACTAAAGACACCAAGCAGTCTGTGAAAAAAAAAAACCACCTGACTGCAGGGCCCTGCGTGAGACAGGAATGCAAAGGAAATAAGGCAGCAGAACACTGTTGCGCATGGGAGCTTCCAACCTGCTCAAGGTTGTTCACCTTTTATTCACTTACCCCAACAGCCACAAACACTGTGTGAGCACAGCTCCACACACTGCAAGCACTGGGACCCCCACAGGGCCCTGCCCTGCAGTATCCCACACGTGGTGGGATCAATTGCTCAGCATTGCTGGGGAAGCAGCCCCGGTCCACCTCACTGCTGCAGCTTCCTTTTCCTATTTCCTTATTTTATTTTCCTTTCCTTCCCCCCCCCCCCCCTTTTTTTTGTTTTTTCCCTTTCCCCTCTTTCTCTGCTTGCTTTTCCCCCTTTCTGCCTCTCTTTTTGCTTGCTTTTCCTCCTTTCTCCCTCTTTTTTTTCTTTTTTTGCTTCCTTTTCCCCCATTTTTGTTCTTTTTTGTTTGTTTTTCTTTATTTATTTTCCCTCACTTTTGCCTCTTTTTTTGCTTCCTTTTCTCCCTTCCCTATCCCCACCCGTAGCGCAGTCCCAGCCCCCAGCACCTCCCACCCTCACCCCCCTGTTTCCCCCCGGTCCCACCGCTCACCTGCCGCCCGCAGCCGTTCCCCGGCACCGCCTCCTCCCGCCGGGGGGGGGCCGGGAGGCCGCCACGTGTGCCGGTGCGCACCCTCCGCCCGCCCTCCTTTACGTCGGGAGTCGGCCCGAATGGAGGCAGCAGCTAACGGCGTGCAGGTAGGTAGGATGTCCGTGCCGAGGTGCCGGAGGGACGGCCGCCAGCACGGGGCAGTGGTGCTGCAGTTCCGCAAGGGAGCGGCCGCCTCCCGCTTCCACGTCCCTGCGTAGAGAATCGACCGATCGATGGGCTGGCTGATCGTCGAGTCCAACTCCTGGCTGCACGCAGGGCCACCCGAAAGTCAGACCGTCTGACCGAGAGCTCCGTTTGCTTCCAAAAGAAAGCAAATTCAGGCTATTTCAAGACGGCTCGGTCTTATGGCAAGGCAATATTCCAGCTCACAGAGATAAAGCACAACCCTAGCTTTAACCCTTCACTTTGCAGAAACAGCAACGGCTGGGACAAAGAGGAAAGAGGTGCCCGGACAGGTAGATGGAGTCGAATCGGGAGGGCAAAGAGATTCCTGGCGTATTTCTGGAACTCCTTCCAGGAGGACACGTTTATAGGTACCTGCGAGCAGGCTGGGCCAGATCCTCCCATGGCATGGGCCTGTGCTCCCAGTGCAAAAATGCAGACTGACATACGCTCCTCTGAGTGTTAGCAAGTCACTGTCACGTGCAAAGCACTTTGTTTTCATTAAAGAAACATGAGTATACAGAAGTAACCTGAACGCCAGAGCAGCAGATCGAAGTCAACTAAGCACACTGTGTGGCAGTACGTGGGTCATTCAGCAGGATGGGATGATGTGATGTGCATTTAGGTGCATAGGGCTGGGGGATAACAGGAGTTGCAGGAATGCTGGATGATGCTTATTTCTGCCACCACCAACCCCACTCACAGAACCCTGCTGCCCTTCGCAGCATGGCAGCTGCTGGGCACACGCGGCTCGCACCTCTCAGTGTTGGGAATCAGCTGATATGAGTTGCATCACCTAGTGGTCTACAGACACATCCAACAGTAAAGCAGGGTGTTCAACCAAGAGTCCTCCTGAAGCAGAGTTCTGTCCACCGAGAGCCAACGTTTTCCTGAGTTCATTTATGTGCTAAACAGCAAAAAAAAAAAAAAAAAAAAAACCCTGCTTCTAAAGTGCATTTTCCCTAATGCTGCATAGTGCTCCTCCATATCCAATGTCAGAGGGCTCATGGGCAAGGAACTGCAGTGCTCTCCTCCTGTGTTCGACCAGGTGGCCCAATCCCTCTGCTCAACACTGCTTTACACCAACAAATACAGCCTTGGAGAAATGAAAATCCACAAACCAGCCTCCTTCTGAGCCCTGGAAGTTCTGGAGGAAGGCAGAACTCACTGGCACACAGCTTACCTTGCCCTTCTTTTTCCTTCTTTTGGAACCACAACTTTCTTAGACTGATCTGACCTATAATTAGACGGCTTTGTGACAAAGAAGTATTGGGAACTGGCAAAGCAAATGGAGCAAATCTCAGGTCTTGAGAAACAAGCCAGTCGGCATCCTCCTGCTGCCGAGAGCACCCTCTGCGTTGTTGATACACCTCACTCTGTGATCACCATCACCTTGAAATATCCCCAGCACTTCTGGCTGTTAATTCACCATCTCCCATGATTTCCTATACCCATGTGGAACAGCTGCAAGTCAGGCAGCAGCCTCCACTTACAGGGTGGGAGCAGGCATAGGGCAAGGGGAGCTGCCCACTGACTGCAAGCAGAAAACCAGCAGCTTCTGGTACAGCCAGCAAACACCCAGAAGGACAAATATAGGAGTAGTACTTTTTTTGCATGTCATGGACTGCAGGAGATCCCTGCCGCCACCCCACTTTGAGATGGCACCTCACCGAACCCTCAGATGCACTTTCTGCCAGCATGTATGTGCCAGCCCACCTTTGGCACTCAGAATACAGATGCTGCACTGCGGCTGCGTCCTGAAGCTCAACCTGGCAAGGTACAAGGGCAATGTGGGGCAGCTTACCTGCAGGACTGCTGCTCCTGGGAGGGCTCCAGCTCCAGTTCCAGCTCCCTTCTCGCAGCTCCACGTCTTGACAGCTAAAGCAGACAAAAGAGCAGATGGCATTCTACAGGCAACTGTCTTCTGCTGATCTGGCAAGCACAATGCACAGGACAGCTGACTACTCAGACGCTCTTCCTTCCCATCTCCCTAAATCCAAAGCCCCACCTCCAGATCTCTCTGTCATGAACCGCCCTGGAGCTACATAACAGTTCACCCCGTGCAGCACAAGGAAAACATTCCAATAGACAGATATTTTTTCAACCTTCTAAATAAACAACCAGCACTTTGAGCAGAAGACTCTTTCTTCCTCCTAGCAGAAAGTACAGCTACGTGGATTCTTTTTTCTCACTGAACACAAAATGTAAGGTCTGGCAATTCATTTCAACATAAAAACATTGAAAAATGTCCTGTTTTTCAGTACTGCTTTAGTATCTTGACATTGTAAAAGTCAACAGGCAGAAACTATCAGTGTTGGATTTCTTATTTCCACCAGTACATGGCCGAGCAAGCCAGTGCTACTTACCGGTACACTTTGCACAGCACACCTTAATGCTGCTCAACCTAAAACAATTGAGAGTAATCATTACACAAGATGAATGTCAACACAGAACTTCAAGTTCTTTAAAAGCCATTTTAAAAACAATACCACAGCAGGCACAGTGGAATAACATTGCAACGAAGGCCTATCAAATTACACTGCTGTGTTTGCTCTGTACTTCAGAAGCATGTGAAAGCAGCGTGAAGCAGCGAGGCTCACAGCCTCACACTCCTGAAGGCAGGAAGGTGGGCAGCCCCTGCTTAGTGTCAACAAGTTCTCCCAAAGGAAAGCTACCCAACGCCACGAGCTCCTATCCAAGTGACTCTATTGCCACATTAGCACAATCTTCTATGAGGTCCAAGGTTAGAATTAAGGCCAGATATTCCGCTTTCTATAAACGGAGGTGACAAGATAGAGACCCAAAGGAGAAGAAAACCAACAGAAACTTTGTACATCTCAATCAAATCCTTCAATACTCATTGGCTGCAGTTATCCCCTCGTGTTCTTACACAACAGCAAGCATCCTCACGAGCCTCCATCTGCCTCAGAGACATTTCGTTTGAAATTCACTAGCGTGAAAAATACTGCTAAAAGTCTATTCATAAAACAGTATTCTATATTTTTATTTTTCAAACAGCAAGTGACCACATTTAAAATGCATCATTTGCAAATATAAATTATCAAACTATTAGTTTAATTAAAAATAAAGCGAAAACATAACTTCCCTTAGTATCACAATACATAGGAGGGTATTATAAGCCCCAAATGACTAAGTTAACCATAAGAAAACAATTATGTCAAAAGCGATGGAACTCATTAAGTCACCGAATGAATAAATCAATCCTAATACAATACCATTCACCGTGATTATGTAAAAAAAGCCATCTTTCATTGTATTATACAGATAAAACAATCCGATCCTTCATGCCACGTTTTGTAAACCATGATATAAATTACACTCACAGTCAAAGGAACAGATAAGAGTAACTCCCAAAATACTTTAGGTTGCTTTTAGGGCAGAAATAAAGGCAGAAATAGAATCATTTAAAATATATCAAGTTTAACCAAAACATTTATTTGGTCAAGCCTGCTATCCAAATAGTTTTGTTTCCTGCAAAACTATTTTTGTCTTTTTGAATTATGAAATTTATACGTTTCTTTTACATACTAAACATAAGTCATGTGTTGAGCTACATTAAATCCTTTTACACTTGTATCACTTTTGCCAGGAGGCCCATGCATCTTTCACATATGTACACACACACACTCACACACACATTCTTTGTATCGGGGACTTCCTCATCTCCCAGGAGCACAGACAGACCCCCACCTTGGTTTCTGTCATAAAGAATATACAAATTTCATCCTTGCCCAGTTCCTACAAAACCATCTCTTATCAATATACATACTTTTACTGATGGAATTCAGGTTATGATCTTTTGCCTAGTAATAAACGGACGGAATAGATGGCGTAGGATAAAGAAATACTGTATAATTATCTAAATAAACCTATTGTCCTAAGTTTATCTATATGGATTTTTCTGTTTATTAGCTGAAGTACGAAGAAGGCATTTGGACTTGAGGAAAATAACACTAGATCAGAAAATGCACCGTAACAGTGTTCCACTAGATATGTATCACCAGGTTTTCCAGAGCACAGTTTCTTCTGTACGCTTAGGGTTTGCACTGATTGCTCTGTCTTCAAATCCATCACGTTTCCAGATCCGATTCAGCACTACATAGTATGCCTTCAACATGAAAGGAGGTCACTTGCTTTATTGAACACCAAGCTCCCTTCCAGACAGAGTTAAAAGAAAGACAAGACTACACAGACAAAGTCCAGTATAATTCATTTCTGACAAGGAAAAGTTCAACCCCTCATACTGTTGCAAAATTCCTCCTACTGAAATGCTTTACTACAATAATAATAAAAAGCATACATTACATATAAAAGATACCAGTGTACTAAAAGTGACAGAAGTGGACTAGCAAATCCTTCAAAGCACATATTATATAAATGACTAGCATTTAAAAACATTTTCTTTTCTATAAAATGTAGGTCATATACATTTATAAATCGGGGTGGGGGGGTTCTAAAGCAGTGATGACTGCGTTCAAATAGTTTTGCTGCTCTGTACAGTCTAATCCCTACTCAATTCAAACTATAAGTTTGACGTTTAGTTTATTTGTCGGAATAAACTCATCATCTCATAGCTCATAATTGGAAAAATACGCAACTCAACTGAACACGTGACTTGGAAGTGCACTGTTTAACTGCATACGAAATACGGAGAGAACCACTCCTTTGTACTGGAGGCCCAAGTCTCGTCAGCTCAGTATCAGGACTTAAAGACTCCAAATTTAAGCAGAGGAGTTGTCAGGAATCAGCACAGAAGCAGAATAGTATCTCTCATCCTTTAGAGACACAGCTATTCAACTTTTGCAGTCTTCCTCCTCTCGCAGAAGTGCAGC